TTCAGCGGCGAAGCGTTCAGCATTTCTGTTGCCGGCGTTTCCTGGGCAGCCGTGCGCGCGCCGCCGCCGTGGCCACGGTCATCAAGCGCGACGCCGATCTCCTGGCCAAGGAAGAGGTGTCCAGGCTGTCAAACGAGGTGTCCGCAACCTTCCTCGAGGAGGTCACCGCCCGGGTCAGGTGCAGTATGTTTCGAACGTCGACCGCGTATGCAAGGGCGCCCGGGACGTCTTGTATACCAGGCGCGTCTTCCAGCGGAAGCGCCGGAAGGGTCCCGGCGGCGAGGCCGCGCGGGCCATCCGGCGCCGCATGGCGCTCAGAGGCTTCCGCGACATGGGCGCCGGCGCCTGGGGAATGTTCGCGAGAGCAGCTGAACGCGCCTCGTAGCGCGCGCTGTCCTCGGAGGCGGCGCGCCGACCCGACTGGGCCCACGTTGCGCGGACGTCTAGGGGGCGCTCATGCAGGGCACGACGCATGCCGAGATGCAGGAACACGGTGAAGCACCACGCGAGGTGAACATCACCCTGCTACACAGCAGCGCAGCTATCCTCAGGCAGGTGGCAGGCTACGAGTCCTTCGGCGAGGGGGCCGAGTGCCTGCGCCGCGCCCAGCCGGGCACGGGCTGCAAGGACGCACCCCGAGCTTTCTCCAGAGACTCGCCCGGGCCACGCGCTCGCCAGAGTGCAGCGCCAAACCCGCCAGGTGGGGCCAGGAGTTCGAGGTCAATCATGAGGCGTCCAGCGACTATGTTGCTGGCGTCTCGAAGCTCGTGCTCACGTTGTCCGAGCGCGGCGATGGTCTGAAGACCGGTGGGCAAAAGGAGCACGTCGACAGGCTTGTCGGCCATGTCGAGAGCGTCTTTGGAAATATGAAGAGTGACTACGACGGCTTCGCCAACTGCGGGAGTTCACCAGCACCGCGGCGCCAACGGCGCCGTGACGCTCGACCGGGGCGCGCGCATTGTCGCTCCGATACCGATCAGGCACGCCGACCTGGCCAAGGCGAAAGCCGACGAGCCCGCGGGAAGTCAACTACCCGACCTCGTCGCCTCCTTGCAGAGAGCAGCTGCTTACGGCCTGCTAGGTCAGCGCCGCGTCGCAGCGCGCGCCGCAGCGCTCCAGCGGACCAAGAGCAAACCGTTTATACCTATACGACCACCCTTCGGGCGATAAGGAGGTTGTGGGGGGGGGAGGGGGGGAACCAACATCTGACTCGATCGATCTCACTGTCGATCTCACTCAACGGGACACCACGTGACACTTGTCGATCTCAGTATCGATCTCACTATCGATCTCACTCAACGGGACACCACGGGCCACCACGGGACACCGCGGGACGCGGGACACCACATCGATCTCACATGCGATCTCCCGATCGATCTCACTATCGATCTCGCTCAACGGGACACCTCGGGACACCTGTCGATCTCACTATCGATCTCACGAACGATCTCACGATTGATCTCATTCAACGGGACGCCACGGGACACCGCGGGACACCGCGGGACACCACGGGAGTCTTCGGGGCACCACATCGATTTCAGTATCGATGTCACGATCGATGTCACGATCGATGTCGCCCAACGGGACACCACGGACACCGCCGGACACCACGGGACACCGCCGGGACACCGCGGGCCCAGTCCCAGCCACCGGCGGACGGGACACCACGGGACACCGGCGGGACACCGCCGTCCCAGTCCCAGCCATTGGTTGCTGGGCGCACGGACTTTCGCTCCTGCTTCGGCCTACCCACAGGAGGATCACGCGCAGCTTCGCCTCGCCCGCGCGCGCGACACGAACGCGAAACCGAAACCGATTTCCGGGTGGGGGTCTCCGTTTCGTTGCGATCTCACCCCCGTTTTCCGATTTTACGTTCTGCAGCTCGAGTCTGAGGTCCCTGCCACGCAGAAGATCAAGGCGCGCATCGCTTTTCTTTGCGTGGACTGCGCTGGCCAGGTCTGCGCGCGCAGCGACGGGTCCTTCAAGACGGAGGCGGAGGCGTGGGCGGCATGAGAGGCGCCATCTACTTGCGCTTCTGCAAATGCCGCAGCGCGGGCAACGAAGTCACACATTTGCGTGTAGGTTTTCTTTCGGCCCCGAGCTGCTCGCGGCGCGTGGCGCAGCTGATGGGTTGCAGGCCTATCTCCTCGCGCTCTGCGAGATGATCCGGGGACCAGTCTCTGCCAGGGATCAGGAAGCTGAGAGGACGTGGGGCGCGAAAAACTGGGGCTGCGCTATGCTGGCAATTGCGGTCGTGGACAGGATGTCCGTGTTCGCGGCCATCGCCGTGGATCCTGTGCGCCCACCCTCAGAACGCAGCATGGCAGGCCACCAATGGCGGCTTTCCAGCTTGCTGTGCACCAAGCAAATCACTGACATGCTCTGGTGCCAGAGTTGTGATATGGGGGCCGATCCCACGTGGAAGTTGAGCGTCGGCCGGGAGCTGATCTTGGGCGCGACGCGCGGGAAGTTCAAGTGCGACCACACCGCGGACACACTGAGCGGCCGGAAGCACAAGAAGATTGTGCCCAGTTCTCGCCCAGCAACCTCGGGATGGCAGCCGGACGTTTCGCTGCATGTATTTCTGCTGCAGGACGTGGCATCGGCGGTCGTGCGTCGCGAACTTCGCTCGCGAATTCGACGTCGGGAAAGGCAAGGACAACCGCGCGTCGTGAACTAACCTCATGCCCGTGAGAATAAACACTAGGGGATAATAAAGTTCGGGGTTCAGGGAGAGATAATAAAAGTAGCCCAGCAGACCTCAGCATAATCTCGAAGTGAGAGATGATCAAGAGGAGACCAAGCCGAGCACGTTTTGAGACATCCTTGGCGTTTAGTTTTCATAGAAATATCCTCAACAATGGCTTATCTCTCATGAAAATTGTTTTTTGTAAGTGCTCGTGTAGGGTAGCTCATGTGCCTCAATTTCCATGGATAATCAACCCCAGAGATAAAAAAGTTCAGGCGAGCGTGGGGACAGAGAGAAATATAAAAGAAGAATAATACAGTAGAAGAATAATAAGAAAGAAGAAGAAGAGGAGAATAAGAAGAGGACGAAGAAAGGAAAAATCCAAAGTTCCAAATCTATCAATTTTAATTTACAAACGCTTCATGCAAATTGATTTTTTTTTAAGTGCTCGTGTAGGGTAGCTCATGTGCTTCATTTTCCATGGATAATCAACCCCAGGGATAAAAAAGTTCAGGCGAGCGTGAGGACAGATAGAAATATAAAAGAAGAAGAGGAAAGTAGAATAAGAACATTGCTCGTTTCGTTTGAGTCTGCCTCCCAAAATTATTGGTTTCGCTTGACACATCCTGAAAAAGTGTGATCGTTTCGCTTGATGTTGCTATATCAACATCGCTTGATGTTGCTATCTCAACATAGCGTTTCGAGGTGATAATGAAGTTCGGCCTCAGCGCTCGCCGCCCAATTTGAATTTTGTATAGGGCGACGATAATCAACTCTAAACACTGAAGGGGGGGTGTCCCTTTATTATCATCGGCATGCGGTTATTGTCGCGAATAGGATGTAGCAGGACATATGAGAGAACGCCTGCATAAGGCCAATTGGCTTTCCAAATGCGACTGAATGAGTCGTGAAATGGAGGGGCTGTTGCAATGAAGTGTGAGTGTGATTCTGGCGACCAGCACGCTACTCCAATTGTCTGCTCGCCTCGTCCCCTTGGCACTTGTTACGATGTCCCTGGTCAGTTTCGCTCCTGTTTGCAATGTTGCGGGATGCGCTAGCCTGCTTCGGTTTGCCTGAGAGTGCTGCCAGGAGTAGCTGCCGTCCCGCCTCGTGCGCCGTAAAGCTTGTTTTGCGGTTGGCACCTTGGGGACAAAGGTGCTTTGCGACTGCCCGAAGTCTGGCATGTCTGAGGCATGCCGACACCACGCTCACCTATCCTGTTGCAATTGTCTATGAGGCCTCGTAGGTTGCCGCACGGTTTGCGCGCTGTGACCGACTGGGCGGGCACAGGCAGAGTCGCTTGAGACCAGACTCTGACGGTAGCTCACTTAATGGACGATGGCGATTAATAAATGCCCGGGGGACGTGTTCACGCGGCGGCGCCCGGGATGACGATTAGAAAAAACCGGCCGCGGGCTGGAAAACTATTTTTTTTATCGTTCTCCTCCAGTCAGAAAGCTGTGCAGAAATAGCAGAAAACTACTGTTTTAATCGTTCTCCCACATTTTTTATTCATCGTCATCCCGCACAAGTGCTTCTGGCTTCTTTGCCCTGTTCAGTCTTCTCCACTTTCCCGCTGCCGTTTCGGCCCAGGCGCGGAGACTGGCCACTCTCCGTGCCTTCGGTTGACGTGCATCCCGCGTATTCGCAGCCGTTCACCCGGCCCTCGTTTGCCTGTCCCTCTACAGGAGGAACGTCGACAAATAGTCAAACGATAGTCTGGGGACGATTTGTCCGCAATCTTTTTATAATTTTTCGAGCGTGTTTTAAATATTTGTGTTGCTCGTCCAAAGTCCGCCTGTCTTTTTCGACACGACCGATCCGATTCGATATTGATTTCGGTCGGCCCGGCTCGACTTCGAGATTCCAGGGGTCCGACGAGGCCCGGTGCTTGCATGGCGATGCTGTGCATCCTGGCGCGGCCAATCCAATCCGATTCCGCTTGTGCCGACGTTGCTCGATCCGACGCGCATTCGGATTCGACGATTTCCCGATTCGATGCTGACTGATCCTGCCTCCTCCTCCTCCTCTTCCGTCGTCGCCCTTCCTCCTCCCTCATCCCACCTCCTTCTGGTTCCTCCATCCTCCCCACTCCCTCTGCCTGCTGCTTGCGTTTGTCTCTTCGCGCCTTCCGGCTTCATTTTCCTCCTCCTCCCCCCTCCCTCTCCCCCTCCGCCTCCTCCTCCTCCTCGCTTCTCCTTCTCTTCCTCCTCCTCCTCCTCCTCCTCCTCCTCTTCCTCCTCCTCCCCCTCCTCCTCCTCCTCCTCCTCCTCCTCCTCCTCCTCCTCGCCCCTCCTCGCAATCGCGGAAGGTGGCTTGCGGCCCCCGTGGACTTCGTGGGGCTCGAGAAGCACGGCTGCGCCAAGTCTGAACGCCTCGCCATGGCGGGCCTTGCTGATGCCCCCGGCTGGAAATCCAGTCCTCCCAACTGTTGGCCCGAGCACGTGGCGTCGGGGGATCGCACCGCATCGCTGATGTTTCGGTGATGGGGCGCGGTTTGGGGGGCATCTTTGCCCATGCCGACCCACCGTCGCCGATGCGGCGCGAGACTCCGACACCATCTGCTCTGGTCCCACTTAGGAGGCCTTCAGGGGCGGAGGGGTGGGGAGGGTGTTCCTCCTTGTCGTTTTCGCGCAGCTCGTGGTCGTCGGCTCTAGACTCTGGTCGTCACCCCCTTGCAGCGACGGTCGCTCCTGTTCCTCCTTCTTCTCCTCCTCCTCCTCCTCCTCGACACTGAGGGCGGAGCGGTCTGTCCGCCGAAGCCCGCGCCGCGCCGCCGCGCGCGGCGCAACGCCGAAGGCGCGCCCAGCTTTGTACCGAGCCCGCCCGTTGTGACCAGCCTCTGGGCCCGAGACCCCGCCGAGGAGGAGGAGGGATCCGAGGAAACCTAAAACTCCTCCTCCTCCTCCTCCTCCTCCTCCTCCTCCTCCTCGTCCTCGTTCTCCTCCTCCTCCTCCTCCTCCTTTTCCGCCTCCTCCTCCTCCTGCTCATCCTTTTTCGTTTCGCCTCTGGCTGCCCTGCGCGGTGAAGTAAGGGACGGTGCAGGACAGGGAGGGCGCGGCCCGGACATCCGGCCGCTCCATCTTCTTCGGGTGCGTGGGCCCTGGAGGTCCGGACCACGTCTCTCGGGCCGGTTCTTCGTCCCGAGTCGACCCACACGCGACCCACCCGCGACCCACCCCGCGACCCACCCGCGACCCACCCGCGACCCACCCGTGACACACCGCGACCCACCCGCGACCCACCCGCGACCCACCCCGCGACCCACCCAACATTTTCGGCGCCTGCGGCGGGTTTCTTTTGCACTCGGTCCAGGTGGAGAACCTGCGACCCAAACCGCGAACCAAAACGCGTTCAGTGTACACATCAAAATTTGCGGCGCCTGCGGCGGGCTGTTTTGGAATTCCTTCCAGGTAGAGGTGGAGAGCCCGCGACCCTCCCGCGACCCAAATTACGTTCACTGAACAAGCCAGAACTTCGGCGCCTGCGGCGGGTTTCTTTTGCATTCGTTCCAGGTGGAGACCCTGCGACCCAAACCGCGTTCAGTGTACAAATCAAAATTTGCGGCGCCTGCGGCGGGCTGTTTTTTGAATTGTTTCCAGGTGGAGGTGGAGAGCCCGTGACCCACCCGCGACCCAAATTACGTTCACTGAAGAAGCCAAAACTTCGGCGCCTGCGGCGGTCCGCCGGCTCGACGCCCGCGTCGCTCGCGCCCGCCCCCGCACTCTTATCCGCAATTGTGGGGTGCTACGTAAAAAACCCAACACCGCAAGGTTATTATAAAACAACAGACAGCAACAAAACGTGCCGCGCGCGAGCTGCAGCTCCTCGCCGAGCTCCAGATGCCAGGCGCACCGCCGCGCCGCCTCCTCTCACCGCGACCAGCGCCTCGGCTGCACGCAGGAGTGACCCTGGGTAAGAGCGACCTCTGGTGCGCAGCTCTTGGGGGGCGCGAGGGGGCCAAACCTTAGTGGGCCCCGGAATCGGCAGGGCCGTTTTTTCACCGTTTCCGAAAAAGTGCCCCTCGAACATGGAAACGGCAAAACAATGGCGACTGGAAACGGCAAAAAAACGGCTCCAGGATTGGAACCGGAGCCGGAACCGGTCAGAAAACGGCGACGGAACCGGTAAAAAAAACGCGTCGGAACCGGCAAACAAACGGCAAAACGGAACCGGTAAAAAAACGGCCCTGTCGTTTCCAGGGCCCACTAAGGGCCAAACCCAGGCGCAGAGACCGCTGCTGTCGCTTCGCGATCAGCCACATGGGGGCCCCGGTGTGCCCGCACCCAAAGGTCACTCTGGCGAAAGGTCACTCTTACGTGCAGTCGAGGCGCCTCCCTCGCCCTAAACCCTAAACCCTCAAGACGAAAAGCACAACGCATTGGCCAACCCGAACGACACCATGACGAACAATGCGGGGTCCGACAGCACTCATATGCGAGACCCAATTCACACCGCTGCAAGCCCCGCGAACGCTAATACGCAGTGTAAACCCGAAGCCCTAAACCCTACCCCCCCCCCCCGTGTGCCCACACCGAAGAGGTCACTCCGGCGAAAGGCCGCTCTTACGACGTGCCGTCGAGGCGCCTGCCTCGGCGGGGGGCGGCGGGCGGCGGGCCCGCCGCCCTGCCCGCGCCCTCTTGGGCGCCCTGGCCGCGCGGGGCGCGCCTGCCACGGCTGCCGAGCCCGCCGCCGCCGCTCCCTCGGCGGCACGCGGGGAGCTTCCCAGACCCCCGCGGGTCATGAAAAAATCACGACGGGAGGTTTTTCGCTATTTTCGGCTTCTGGGGGCCCTTACCGGGCCTCGGGACCGTCGAAAAACGACTCGGGATGAAGAGCCGGTCCCGGGGAAGGGGTCGGGACCTCTGGGGGTCGCGTCATGAAAAAATCATGACGTCGGAGGTCTGGGTTTGTGGGCCCTGGAAACGGCAGGGCCGTTTTCTCACCGTTTCCAAACAACTGTCCCTTGAGAAGGAAAACGGCAAACAATAACGGTGACCGGAAACGGCCAAAAAAGGGTTCCAGGAGAGGAACCGGCGCTGGAACCGGTCAAGAAACGGCGACGGAACAGGTAAAACAACGGCGTCGGAACCGCTAAAAAAACGGCAAAACGGAACCGGTAAAAAAACGGCCCTGTCGTTTCCAGGGCCCACTAAGGCGATGAGTGGTCCCTAGGCTTGTGGAGGACGATCAGTGGAGAGGAGGCACGTTGCCAAAATGATTTCCAGATGTCTACAACATATGTGCTACACCTGTTTCAATTGCGTGATTTACAGGCTTGAAGCTGGTTTAGAACATGCTTTACACATGTTAAGCATGTCCTGAATGCAGCGCTAGGGTTGTTAGAGTTTCCATGGTCATGGCATCCACAACCCCAGGCTCATGTTGCTCCCATCGCACTGGAGGACCACATCCCCAAACATGATTTCGAGCACCCAAAGAAAGTATCGAGACGGTGTCGAACGAGTATCGTATCCCAGGGCCCGACACGCGAACGCCCTCCAGCTTCTGCATTTTCCTGGTGCTCGAGATGCTTCCTGGTGATCAAAGCTAAAGTAGGTTGGAACTCCATAGCCCTAGGCAAGAGTGACCTTTAGTGCGCGGCCAAGGGGGGGCCGTTGGGGACAACCCCAGGCGCGCAAGCCGCTGCTGTCACATTGCGATCGGGGGGGTCCCATGGGGCCCGCACCAAAGGGCGCTCTGGCGTAGGGCCACTCCTACGTGCAGTCGACTCCCTCCTCCCTCCGCCCTCCCCCCTCCTCCCTCCTCTCTCCTCCCTCCTCCCCCCTTCCTCCTCCCTCCTCCGTCCTCCCTCCTCCCTCCGCCCACCTCCCGCCTCCCTCCGCCCGCCTCCCGCCTGCCTCCTCCCTCCCTCCCTCCCTCCCTCCCTCGCTCCCTCCTTCCCTCCCTCCCTCCTCCCTCCCTCCCTCCCTCCTCCTCCCTCCTCCTCCTCCTCCTCCTCCTCCTCCTCCTCCTCCTCCTCCTCCTCCTCCTCCTCCTCCTCCTCCTCCTCCTCCTCCTCCTCCTCCTCCTCCTCCTCCTCCTCCTCCTCCTCCTCCTCCTCCTCCTCCTCCTCCTCCTCCTCCTCCTCCTCTCTGTCCCCCGCGACCCTCCCCCAGAGATCCGACGCACTCCACAAACCAAAACGACTGGCGCGGCGAGATCTTTGGGCGCTTTTCGGCCTTCGGGGGGGGGGCCCTCGCTGGGCCTCGGGGGTGTGAACAAAGTGGGTCGCGGGTGGGTCGCCGGGGGGGTCTCGCGGGTGGGTCGCGGGCGGGTCGCGGGGTGGGTCGCGGGTGGGTCGCGGGTGGGTCGCGGGTGGGTCGCGGGGTGGATCGCGGGTGGGTCGCGGGGTGGGTCGCGGGTGGGTTGCGGGTGGGTCGCGGGGTGGGTCGTGGGTGGGTCGCGGGGCGGGTCGTGGGTGGGACGACGACAACAAACAAGAACAACAACAACAACAACAACAACAACAATCATTTAAGACTGGGGACACTCCGTTCTCACCAGTGCCAGGGTTTTCATAGGAGGCGGGCAATACCCCCACTTTGTGGGGGGGCCGGTTCAAGCTCTACCAAATTTCCAAACGACTCTTCGCCACCACCCACACCCAGCTTCCCGCCCTATGACGTTCGGACACTTCACTTCGTGGCATGCGGACGACCGTGGCTACTATTCAGGGCCCCGCGGCCGACGACGACGGCGTGCGCGCGCGAAGAAAAAACGAATGTGTCCCGCATGGTATTATTTGACAGGGATGATGGCCCTGGCAGGTGCGCAACCGTTGTCGCAGAAGTTCGAAAAAGTTGCTCGCAAAAGCCCGTTTGACAGAAATGTTTAAAAAGTGTTGGGTTTCCTACGAATCCGCAAGAGCGCGCGGGATGAGATTTTGACAATTTTTTGTTGAAAAACCATTGGTTTTTTGATGTTTTTATGTTAAAATCGCTGCGAACACTAAGGTTTTGGAAGGATTTCGTCTTGCGCGCGCGAATGTCCACTTTACCTTATTTTTTGCAAGGGATTCTTGAAATTTGATTATATTAGAACAAGAAATGTCATTTTCTATTGTTTTTTGCAAGGGAAAACGGATTACAACAAAACAACCGGATCTGGATCACATCGTTTTACCTGAGGTTTCCTCACGAAAATGATGAAAACGTGGCTGCGGCCTAGGCGCGGCGGGGGGGGCGTGCACCAGGGGGCCCAACAATAATTATTCTTTAGAAGTAATAATATTCAACAACAATCCGCACCGCGGAATTCCACTTCAGCCACGCACCCAGGGACAGTGAATGACCGTTCGGTTCAGCCCCCTCACTCTGATAGTATGTCTTGTTATTGCTGTTTCCGGGTGCTTTCTGCACAGGGCCGGTCTCGTCTTTATCCCCCCTGTTGCACGCTAGCCAGTGCGCTTGTCGGTTGCCCCGAATAGCCTCACGCTGGAGCGGACTGCCTCTGCCTCGCCGCCGACGAAACAACTGTTCAGCACAGGCCACCGAGGTCAGCGACTCGGCTGAAGCAGAGGCTGGAGTCTGGACGGAGAGTTGTCAGTTCTACCTAGCTTGCCTGTGTGCACATTCGGTGGTCGGAGAGCGGGCTGGAGGGGCTGGCGAGGGAGAGAGAGGGAGGGAGGATGAATGGAATGGAGGACCTCCTCTTACTTCCCCCTTTCTTATGAGAGGTTGCACGGTACGTGTTACTTCGTCACCTCGAGTCCTGGTGATACGACTGTGCGTGGTGCAGTTTCTGTCGAGCTCGAGTGCTCCGCTCAAGCAGCTCAGGCGAGGAGACCACACACACGCAAGGCCGAATATGTTTCTTGTTTCTCTTATTATTATATGTATTCTGCTTCTTCCCCCTTCCCCCACCCCTTTCCCACCTGCGAGCCCCGCAGAAAAAGAGAGGGCGAAGGAGGAGGACGAGGAGAAGGAGGAGGCGAAGGAGAAGGAGAGGGGACGGCGAGGGAGAACGCGAGGGAGGAGGAGGACGCGGAGGAGTGGAAAGGGAGGACCCCCTCCTCCCCCCCCCTTCCCCCGCCGCCTCCCCCCCCGCCCTGCGAGCCCTCCGCAGAGGTGGACCTCATCGTCGCCGAGACCAGCCGGGCCGGCCGGATGCCGCCGCTGCCCGCGCCCGCGCGCTCGCGCAACGCCGACGACTGCCCCATCTGCTGAGAGGCGGGCGGCCGCGCCCTCTGCCGGCTCCGCCCGCGCCTCTCCGGGCCGGCCCGTCCTCCGCCGGAGGGTTTCTCCGAAGGGCTTAGGCGACCCGTCCTTTTCTTCCTCCTCCTCCTCCTCTTCCTCCTCCTCTTCCTCCTCCTTTTTCTCCTCCCCCTCCTCCTCCTCCTCCTCCTCCTTCTCCTCCTCCTCCTCCTCCTTTTTCTTCCCTCCTCCTTTTTCTCCTCCTCTCCCCCTCCCCACCCTCCTCCTCCTTCTCCTCCTCCTCCTCCTCCTCCTCCTCCTCCTCCTCCTCCTCCTCCTCCTCGGGTCGCCTACGGCCCCGGGGGAAACCGTATTATAGCATCCTGGCCGGCCTATAGGCCTACCAAGGAAAGGTCTAAGAGCCTTCTGTGGTCTGCACGAAATCTAAGAAGATTTCGTGGGAGGCCTATAGGAATGCAGGGACGGTCGGTCCCTGCTCAAAATACAAGACTGGACAATCTCAAGCCTGTGATCTGTATGATGTGATCTAGCTTTTTTGTCCACACCTCCTGGATGTGGTCCGAGTAGATGGGGTCGGAGGGTCGCGCTGCATCGGCGATGCATCGGCGATACATCGGCGATGCGGCTTGACGTGGGGCCCGATTTTCTCCACGCCGACGTCCCCGATGTATCGCCGAGTTCGCCAATGCATCGCCAACACATCGCCGATGCATCGCCGATGCGGCACGATCCTTCGACCCCATCTACTCCGACCCCATCTCGGAGACCTCTAGAACTGTATGAAGTGATCTAGTTTTTTGCCAGTGGTACGACGTGTGAGCTTTCGCCGGTCTCGCCGGCTCTCCAGACTGGCCAGGGCCGAAGCAGCTAATTGGTACGGCCCTCCCTCTTGCCAGCACGTGCGCGCAGGAGCGAAGAGGGGGGAGGAAGGAAGGTCCCCTGGACTTCGGTGCGTTCAGCGCGTTCCACAAAGGCTCCTCTGTGACTGTTTTTCTTCCCGTCGGCACCGAAGCACGAATGTCGCAGCGAGGCATTGACGAATTCGGCGGCGAGCGAGGGGGGGAAATGAGAAGGAGAAGGCCTTCTCAGAAGGAGGCGAGGCTCCTCAGAAGCCCTCGGGCCCTCTGTGAAGTCTTTTGTGTCTTCGAGGACGGCTTATGAACTTCTTCGGGCCCGTCCCCTTGGATCCGACGCTCGAAAAACGTTGGAGTGGCGGGACTTATCGGCAGTTTTCGGCCCAAGGGGGCCCTCGCCGGGCCTCGGGAACGTCAGAAGACGGCTCGGGAGGAGAGACTGGCCCCAGGGAGGTGGTTCGGACCTCCGGAGCCCACGCGTCACAAATAGATTGGAGCGGCCGCGGATGTCCGGGTTCCTCCGTGATTGTCAGTGTTCCCGTCGGCGCCGAAGAGCGAATGCCGCAGTGAGGCGCTGAATTCCAAAAGAGAGGGACAGGAGGCGGAGGACAACACGACGAGCGAGTTGGTCTGGTCTGCTGCCGCGCACGCCCAGCGCCCTTCCCATGACTGCGCGAGCTGGTGGGGGGCCGCGCACACCCTGGTGACAGGTACCGCCCTCCTCGCTTCCACGAGTGTTGATCAGGTGCTGTTAACACCGCGCCGCTCTCCCAGCAAAGAAATGTGAAGTAGAAGGTGGAACATCAGTTGGCGGTGCACCCGTGGCAATCTAAACATTTGCCGTGTGTCGTTTCAGGTTCCCGTGTTTTACTCCTTGCTCTTCGTATTTCGAAACCCACATGCAGGCGCAATGCCGCAGGCGGCCGCGCAATTTTGCCAGGAGGGGAGGAGAAGAACAAGGCGACGAGGGTTCCCAGGGCCCCCAAGACCGCGCGAGGGCGAACTCCTCCTCCTCCTCCTCCTCCTTCTCAGGTCCGTCTCCTCGTTTTTCTCCTCCTCCTCCTCCTCCTCCTCCTCCTCCTCCTCATTCCATCCTCCTTCTCGTCCCTTTCCTCCTCCTCCTCATGCTTTCTTCTCCGCTGCGGCCTCTGCCGGCTCGCTGCGCCCCTCCGCGCTTGCTCGCCCCCCTCTCCCGTGTCGCATGCGGCTGCCTTCGGTCGGCTCGGCTCGGCCGAGGCTCGTGTCGCTGCCGCGTCGCTCCTGCTCCGGGCTGCCCGCGGCCTATCGGTTCTGGTCGGCTTCGGTCGCGCTGTCGGTCCGGTCGGTGTTCGCCTGTGCCGTTGCCGACGACAGCCCTTCTCGCACTCCGTTTGGCATGGGGGTCAAGGGCAATCCTAGCTTTAAGTCAGGCCTGCCCCTCTACAGGAGGAGTATTCAAATAAAGTCACAACATAGTCTGAGGACTGTTTGCCTTAGTATGTCTTGATCATGTTGGTGCATTTGTTGGCTATTTGTGACTGTTCGTCCAAAAGCCTTCTGTAGGAGGACAGGCCCGACTTAACCCTAGCTCTTTGGAAGAGTGCCCTCCTGCTCCTCGCCCCTGTGCTCTCCACCTCGGGATGTGTCCACTGGGCCTCCCCATGCCACCTTGGGACATCTTCGCCTTGGGGTATCCACCGTGGGATATCTCCACCTGAGCGGCGCAAGACAACGGGGTCGTCTTCGCCGACATTGGCGCGTGGGCTGCCCGCGTAAGGTCTCGCGTGAGCGCCCTCGCTTCCACTGCAGCGTGGGCGGCCCGCGCAAGTTGCGGCGTATGGTCGCTACGCCACCTCGCGCAAGACTCGTGTTTGATCGTCGCTCACCTTGGGATATCCTGCTGGGCCTCCCTATCTCACCTTTGTGTCAGGTCGGGCCTGTCCCCCTGTAGGCGGATTTTGGGCGAAAAATCAAACAGATTCGAAACAATACCCCACAACAGTCGAACATGTTAGAAAAAACGTCGGCGCCCCCGGAGAGGCCTGCGAGGGAGCGATATTCCGAAGAAGAAGACGCCATAAGCAGAAACTGCTGGCGCTCCGCGCGGAGCTCTTGGATCCGCGCTGCCCCCCCCCCCCCCCCCTGGCGGCGCCTCTGGCGCGCTCCGCGCGCCAGGGAGGGGGGGGTTCCAGCGCAGATCTACGAGATCCGCGCGGAGCGCCACAAGCTTCGGCGCATGTCGTGCCTTTTTACTCTTCTTTGATGCTTGCCACCCTTTTATCCTCCCACCTCCTTCCCTTCGCATGCATCTGGGGCAACGTCAGAGGTTACCAGCCTCGAACGTATCCCTATCCCGAAGATTGACACGCCAAAAGGCGGTGACAATCCTAGGGACTCGCCCTCCCAAAATCAGAGAATCCCTAAGATTGCCATCGTGATGAGGAGGTGCCCAGCATAGGGATAGGTATATGCTCCAGGCTTATGTGTGTTTTTTCGTCCTCGAGGGCCATTTTAGTCTTTTATGTGCTCTCTTGGTCCCAGAGGGAGCTCCACTGGAGGCCCCAGTGCCACCGTCCACATGCGTTCCCCACGCCCCTTCCTGCACACCCCTCACAGGGCTCGTGGCCCCCTATGGGAGCGCCACCGAAGAAGATATTCACACTGCAGGGTTCTGGGCCGAGGGGCGGCTGCATCGACCCTCGATCTCGCCCGCGCATCGATCGCCCACGGAGGGGCCCGGCAGCTCGCCCCGCCCAGGAGCGCCGGGGTCCCCCCCCCCCGGGAAGAGACATCGGTCTTTGGGGCGGTGTCCTCCTCCTCCTCCTCCTCCTCCTCCTCCTCCTCCTCCTCCTCCTCCTCCTCCTCCTCCTCCTCCCCCTCCTCCTCCCCCCTCTCTCCTCCCTCCTCCCTCCTCCCTCCTCCCTCCTGCCAGGCTGCCGGGGAGTTTTTTTTAGCCAAAGAAGTCGGGCAGCACAGAGGGCCGTTCCACGATGTTTGAACTCGCTTGCCAGTGGAAAGATCCGACTGAACACTAAGCTCGACTCGAGAACGCCTCGCTGTCACGCCCCAGAGCGTGTTCCCAGGATGGGTCGAAAAGCCTGCCCCCCGGCAGGACTAAGGGCGGGGCTCCCTCGGAGTCACGCTGTGAGGGAAGAAGGACGTTGGATGTCTGGGCACGCACGCAGCGCAATGCATTCAATATGGCGCCGCTCGCGCACTTTCTGTGCTTGCTTGCCGCCGCCATTTCTCATCCGAGTCTTTGTGAGCCCTGGCGGAGCGAAACGGTGACAGGCGCGCTGACAAAGGCGGCGGCTTGAGAGCGCCATGCGAGTCCTGCACATGTTTGAATCGGTGAGCACGCGTCGTACGTCCACGGATGCTATCGGCGATCGGGTTCGTCTCGCATGGCCGCCCCAGCAAAATCACGCGGCACTGGATGATGAATGCGAGCAGTTTCAATGAGTTCAATTGGAGTAACAGGTTGCTTATGGTGAGACGCACGTAAGATACAACAATCGTGCCAGCTTCAGCTCTGCTTGCACAGATCCTGAAAGGGCTGTCAAACGCGTGAGGTTCGCGCAGGAATGTATACTTTCGCGCGACCTCTGCGTGACCTTTGCGCGGGCATTGCGGCCGCAACGATTTGGCGCCAAACCGTGCCAGGGTGGCTCTTTTATGCGCGCCTGGCCAAGATTTTGTCAGATGCACGCGTTTGTTACGCACGTGGTCGTCGGACTTCAACATGACATGTCACCGTCACCTGCACAGACATATTCTGGTAGCGGCTATCAGCAGCCGCGTAACCAGATTTTCCGAACGCCATCAGACATCCACAACACTACAGAATTGACAGCAGAAGACCCTGCACAATTTGTACATAGACTATACGGAGCTTTCCTAAAAGGGCCTTGCTTTCGAGGATCGAAGGAGTTGCCATCTCTTCCTCGGCGTAAGGCGGCGGAAGGGCTCCAGAAGTAAAACGAGGCCGCCTCCGCCGTGGAAGCTGGCGGAAGGCAGGCGGAAGTGGAAGCTGCGCCCCCAAGAGACGAAGCATTTTTGTTTGGGATTCAGGGTTTCTGCAGTCCGCCATCGAGAGCACTTTCAGCGGCTACTAAGAGAACACAGCAGGGTCCAGGATCGGTGTGCAAGCCTCCATGGTGGATTTTTTGTTGGGGGTGG